CCTGGCTGGACATCGCCTTTGGGCGGAGGGAGGGAAAAGACCCCTCTGCTGTACTTGAAAATACAGACGGAAAGCGTTGGTCCCTACATGTCTGGCAAAATGATTGTAACTTTAGTTATACTGTATCTCATTTCTTCCTCGCACTTAAAAGCGGTTGTAGTAGTTGATCCCGCTTTACCAAAGCGTCGCTCTGGGCGTCGCGTAAGATAAATACGTAAACTGAGAGGAATATATACAGCAGGAGCTACGGTTTGAGCAGCGCGCTTGTTGTCTTTCGGGTGGCTCTTATAAATGTTGTGTTGCTTACAGTAATGCGCATCCTTTTTTAGGGTCTTGTTCTGGGAATCTACTCAAGTGAAAAGGATGAAGGTGCTGCCCAGTTCACTAGTGCGGGAGATGCTTTCGACAGACTTGTGTCTGGAAAGCTGAGAGAACTTCTGTCCGTGTAAGTGTCTCATAAGCTTCTGAAATGGACTAAAGTACCTAAAAACACCAACGAGAATGATCTTTTTTTATCATTATTAGTGTTTCCATCTATACCATGTCTCAGGCTGGTATTTGCTTCTACCAGGGCAAGCAGTTTGGAGGGGAACTCTTGTGGAAAAACCAAGCACTGAGGAAACAGATGCAAAATGTTCACGGGAACTGTCCTTTTCTGTGAATCAGTGCTGAGCCAAGTGTCCCAGTACAGTGTTGAGGAGCACTGCGTGGTTGTGGAGTGACTGTAGTACCATAAGGTTTTATCACCAGTAAGGACTTCTTTATTGAAAGGATCTTTTTGTGTCCTAGATGTGGGCCACCTTTGAAGAAAGGCAAAACACGCATATTCCATGGTTTGCATCAGGTATGAACTTTGGATTTTCGTGTGTGTATTGATTAACCTGTGAGGTTTGCCCTTACGTCTTATTTTAAGCCGAGTTCACCGCTGTGCTTGTATAAACGCTCTGCTCTCCTTTCCCCCCTCACCCCTCTCAACAGAAGATGGGGTTCTTATTGAAACCTCCTGTTCTGCACTCCCCGTGTTTGCACGCCCTTTTGCACAATCCTGTACGCTGTCCACAGTGTTGCAAATTGAGAAGATGTAATCAAGTCTGTTCCAAAGGTGGTGTGCTCTGAATAACTGCTTACTGAATGAGCTGAAGCACAACAGGTTTGGATCAGACTTCTGCTGTGCCTCCTGCACTCAGGAGGGGTGAGTGCACAAGTGTGTACAGATATGTGCAAAGACCTTCCAGATGTGACACTTCTAACACAAGGTAGTCCCGTCATAGGCTTTAATCAGAGGTTTGAAAGGCACGTGCTTGAAACCTCTGAAAACAAGACGTGGCACTGTTCTTCAAGCAGGACTTTTGTCTGCACAGATGTGATATATCACAAGGGTATGAGATGGGGATTCATCTGCTTAAAGTCAGGCTTTTGGTGCCATTTGAGAAGCCCTGATATGTCTGCTGCACCTACATGGAGCTGGCAAATACAGTACGATCTTGTGCCTTTTTGGAGTAGTAGCTGGAGGCTAGGCAGACACATAATATGACACTAGGTGTCTCTGTATAAATAACTGAATCTTACATTAGGGCTATTTAAATGATTTTAAACAAATCCATTTGTAGCGAGTATTGCCTACCATGTATAAATTCCTATGCGGAGACCCCTGACAGGTGACACTAGACTCAGTAGAAGGGCTCTCGGAAATTTCATGGAAGCTGAGTCCACTGAAGGTCCCATTATCCCAGTTCTGCATACAGCATGAAGTGAGTAGCAAATCTCTGCAAGAGAAGGCAGTAGAATTTGGCCTTACACCTCTTCTAAGTGTGTAAAATAATGATAACTAAAAAAATGTTAACCCAAATCACTGATATTCTGAAAAAGCTAACACTAGTTTCAGCATCTTGTGGACTAAAAGACTTTACTGTGGTGTAGCAGTTTGAAAGCTGATTGTTAGAATCTGACAGAGCAGCTATTTGTGATGGAAGGGAAAGCCTGAGATTAACTTCATTTTTCTTCAGAGCAATGGGAAATTGTTCACATATATAACCTTGAGTTTTATACAAATTTGACTTCATTCTTAAAAGACTCCTTTAATCTTCATTATTTCTTCCTTTTTGCCTTCCACTTGCAGCTTAGAAGGCAAGCGTTTAGTCTGCTGTGCTACATTGCTTTCCTGCGTTCTGGAGTTGTATACCTCTGTGCAGCTTTGGTTTGTTACCTGGCAAATCATGCTAGCTTGGCTCCTGAGCTGAGCTAAGAGGCTCAGCCTTCAAAGTGATTTTATTTCCTTGAACACAGTACTGTGCCAGAGAAGGTTACACTTCTCCAGCTCAGTTCTGGCCTTTGTTGCAGCTGGAAAGCTGGATGTGTTTTCAAAGGACCTTAGACTTGTCATTAGAAGTATCAGGTTTGCTATGTGTTAAGCATAAAGCCCTATGTGCTGCAATACACATAATTAACTATTAACTGGACAACAGAACAATTGGTTGCGTGCCTGTGGCAAATGACTGGGAGCGGAAGACAGTGGCACCATACTGGCACTCTTAACATACAAATGTGCGTAACGTAGAGAAAGTACTGAATGTATCTTAGTGCTTTGCTTGGGTTGATTTGGAAAGTAAGGTCTTTTTAACAGCACTCTGCTGTGGCTGTCTGTAACTATAAGGAAAGTGAATCCATTTGTGTGTCGGCTTCATCTAGGACTTTCCAAGTGTGGTTGTAGTCGGCTTGGGTAAGAAGAATGCTGGAGTAAATGAGCAAGAAAACTGGAATGAAGGCAAAGAAAATATTCGTGCAGCTGTTGCAGGTTAACTATTTAAACATTTTCTTAAGCATTTTGTCTATAAAACTATTGCAATGGTGCAGCATGTTCCACTTTTGAAGAGTGAGTCTAGGTATGATTTTGTTTTGAAATGCAAAACCTACTGCATGGTTTGGTAAATGCATTTACTTGTCACTGATATTCATGAAGTTTTTCCTTAGCAAGGAAGGAGTTATAGGGCATGTAAATCAGTCTGCAGACAGGTAACTCCAGTTATTTATACCAAATAACTTCCCCTGAAAAGGCACTTGTTTAATTACTACTATTCTGAAGCCTGAGAGCATCACTGATTCACTTTATGCTCACGCTGTACTTAAGTATGCACATATATTTACTTTTGCCACTTAGTTTGTAACTGAGATATTCATGTTATAAACTGGTCTCTTTCACAACATCAGTAGTATGATTCAGTGTGTTATCTGTCGTAGGCAGAGGAGGCCTCTCTATCTTAATCAAGGATGACCGCTGCATCTAAGTGTGTATAAAACAAGAGTAAAAAGAGTTCTCACCACAGAGTTTATAATCTGAGACTGGAGGTCAGTCATACATGTATGACAGCTGTACGGCTAAAGTGCTAGCCTGTGTTGTTTCACCAGCTGCCAAAACATTGCTAAATTATTTGGGTACAAAATGGAATTTATGGAACATTTTTTGTTTGTGTGTAAAAGTGTGTATAAGCTCATTTGGAAGAAAGAGCAGTCATATAGTCTTAGCAAAAAACTAAATTACAGCAAATTTCTGATACCTGTAGATAGATAGTCATAATCCATAGCATTCCACAATGATAGAGCTTTTCTTTGATACAAAGGAATCAGAACTGTGGACTTTCCTTTTTATTCGTGTGAAATGTCTTAATCATTACAATTCATCAAGTGATGTTTTTAGTCAGAATTTGTCAGTATATGGTCATTAGCATTTTTAATCATTCTACTGCATGATCTTTTTGATTGATTTACTTATAAAGTCAGATATCTCGAGCTAAAATTATTTTTTCCTTGAAATGTATTGATCACCTCAGACACCTGTTTTGCTGTTCTGTGTGATACTCAGCCTACTAGTTCTGTACTGCATTTTTCAGTTGGTTGTAGACAGATCCAAGATCTGGAGATCCCTTGTGTTGAAGTAGACCCCTGTGGAGATGCTCAAGCAGCTGCAGAAGGCGCTGTCCTTGGATTGCATGAATATAATGAGCTGAAGCAAAAGAAGAAACCTGTAGTTACTCCTCAGCTTCATGGAAGGTGATGGCAAAAGGAAAGCTTGCCTATTTATTTACATTTGTTTGTTTATTTATAAAACTGTGCGTGCTCCTGCATGAGAAAACCACAAAACTGAAAGAATAGGGCTAGCAGCAATATCCCTCTTAACTCCTCCTCCTCCTTTGAATTTTGTGAAGTATTTTACATATCTAGTATATTTATAGTGTTTGCTCCATGTGTTTTGTTAGTATACCATATTCTAAGGCTAACGGTAAATAAATGCTGCTTCATAGAAAAGAAGGCCCAGGATAAAAATAAAAGTAAAAAATTGCTTGAAGCATAGTTGTTATGTAAAAGGGCTTTTGTTGATGTTGCCAAAATTGTGGAGCAGAGGTATTTCAGACTCCATAAATGAATAAATCCTTTTGAGAAACAGGAAATGCTAACTGACATCAGACCATGCCGTGATGGATAGATTTTACATAGTTCATTTGTTACATTTTCTTTCACAGAATATAATGGGAGAAGCTTGGGTGCTTCTGGCCCCTAAAGAGACATCACTGTTACTTGAGAGCAGAAAGTAATATCAGAGCTTTTGGTTCCAGAACAAAGTTTTATTAATCCCCTTTTACTGTATCAGAGTGGACTTTGGACCTTCCATATAGGATATTCTGTCACACAGAGGAGAGGTATTTCCCATGCGTTCTTTATACAGGAACAAGTCTGTCCTTATGAGGAAGTTAGTGAAATAAAATAGAAACTTCTCAATTTAAGCATGTCTTGATAAGCTACATGCAACAGTCTTCCCATTTGGTAACACAGCAGATAGTTTGGGAGCCAAGTATATTTATATTAAATAAACATTTCCTGAAAACATAGATGGTCCTATGACCACTTACGACACTGGAAATAATTTTTGTATATAACAATTTAGGTTGGAAAGGACTTCTGGTGGTCATCTAGTCCAGCTCCAACTTGGATTAGGCATAACCTGGAAGTTACGTACAACTTTAAAGCTTGATCAGGTTGATCAGGCCTTTGTTCTTGTCCGGTTTTGAGCGTCTCCTGAGGTGGAAATTCCACAACCTCACTGGGCCATCTGTTCTAATGCTTAACTACACTCATGGTGAATTTTTTTTCTTTATGTCCTATTGCAGTTTCCCTTGTTGAATCTTGAACCCATTGTCTCTTACCTTCTTACTGTGCAGCTCTGAGATGTGTCTGTCTTCATCTTCTCTATAAACCCTATGTAAGGGTAGAGGAAATACTGCAATTAGATCTTTCCTCAGTTTTTCTTCTCTAGGTGAAACAAACCGAATTCTCTTTGCTTCTCCTCGTATGCCATGTGCTCCAGCTCCCTACCCTTCTTTAGGGGCCCTCCTTTGGACTTTCTCCAGTTTATCAGTATTTGTTTTGTATTCAGGAACTCAAAAGTGGATGTAGCTAGATGCAGCCAAAAGATGTAGACAGATGCAGCCTCACAAACGCCAGGGAGGTAAATAATTATTTCCTTTAACATGCTGGCTATGCTGTAATCCAACCCAGTATATGGCTGGCCTTTGTCACCGCAGTAGTGCGCTGCTTACTCCTGTACAACTTGTCCACCAGGATCACCAGGTTCTTTTCTGCAACTTTGCTTTCTGCCTGGTCAGTGTCCAGCCTGATTGTTGCATAGAACTGTTCTGTCCCACGTGCAGGACTTTATGCCAGTCTTTTTGTTAAACTTTATGGTGTTCCCTTTGGTGCATTCCTCCAGCTTGCCAAGGACCCTATGAATGGTGGCCCTACCTTCCCCATTTCAGCTGCTCCCCACAACACGATGCTGTCCATGAACTTTTGTTCAACTGTTCAAGTTGTTGATGAAGGTATCAGCCCCAGTATCAACCCTTGAGGAACACCACACGCAACTAACTGCCAGCTAGATTGTTCAGCGTTGTCCGCTATCTTCTGAGTCAACAGTGCTTCCAGTTTTTCAACCATTTTGTAGTCTAGCCCTCCAGTTCATATTTTCTCAATTTGTCTGCAAGGATACTATGTGAAAACCTTGTTAAAGCCAAGCTAAAGGACATCCACTGTGGTCCTCTGTGCCAACCCTCTCATCCTAACAGTCAAGTTGGTCAGGCATGATTTGCCCAAAATAAATCCGTAATGACTGTTCCCAGTGGCCATCTTGTCCTTCATGTACCTGGAAATGGCTTTCAAGATTACTTTCTCCATAAACTTTTAGGGGATTAGTCTAGGATAAATGGTTTGTAGTTCCCTATAGCCTCCTTGCCATTCTTAAAGATGAGGACTTGGCCTTTTCCAATAATCAGAGACTGCACCCAGTTACCATGACCTTTCAAACAGAAAGAGACCAGGCTTGCAATGATGCCAGCCAGCTTCCTCAGCACCCTCAGATACACCCTACCTGCTACCAAGGACTTCTGTATGTCTTGCTTCCATAAACAGCTGAAGTCTTACCTTCCTCTGCCGTGGGTAGTACCTTTCTTCCCCAACTCTGTTACGAAGCTCAGAGAACCGGGGAATCTGGAAGCAGACCTTAACAATTATTAAGACTGATGCAAACAGGCATTGAGAACTTCAGTCTTCTCAGTGTTCACTAGACTGCCTGCCCCATTTAGCAATGGGACAGCATTATCCCTGACCTTCCTTTGCTGATGATGTACCTGTTGAAGTCCTCTTGTTGCCTTTCCCACTTCTTGCCAGTTTCAGTGTCAGCTGAGATTTGGCGCTTTAATTCCATTCCTCCATATCCAGGCAATGTTTCTATATTCCTCCTGGATTCCTTCTTCACTGTGGCGCTCTTCTGAGAGGCGGAATCCATCTTAATGCCCTGCTTTGTGATATCTTTTAAAGCAAATAAGCCTTTCAGTTCTGTCTCAGTAAAACGAAAGGTTTTGTAGTGGTAGTGTTGCAAAGTAACCAGAGAGACATCCCCATTTCCTATGCAGGCAGCTCTTCGAATGTTTGCTCTGTCAGTCGTTAGTGAAATGCCTTGAGTGCACTGTGAAATGAGATCCAAATTCTGCTCTTATCACATAATCATATTTCAGTAAAGTGAAAAACAGAATTGGAGGCTTTATATGGTAAATAAAAACTTTCAGGGCTGTTACAATTAATGCGATTACAAATTTTGGAAGGGATATTAAACCTTGTGCTTACGGATTTAAGCCAATCTCTGACTAGTGAGGATTAGGACAAGACCTAATGCATTAGACAGATAATTTTACAACTGTCTGCTCTAGGATTCTTCTAGCTTTCTGTGAAGCATTTGGCACTGACTAGAACCAGAGATGAGCTACTAGACTAGATGTACTTGGATATCATCCTAAATTCCTTGTAGTAAGATTACTATGACATTCTTAATTGCCCCAAATTAATGATTCCACATTTTCAAACAGGAGAGAACAGATGGATGCTGACATCATCTTACTTTTGCAAATGTTTATGATCCTGATTATTGTATGGTGTTGTTTAGTGCTGAAAGTGAAGCCTGGCAAAAAGGTGTTATCTACGCTGAGGGTCAGAACCTCGCTCGGTACCTTATGGAGGCTCCAGCTAATTATATAACTCCAATCAAATTTGCCGAACATATTGAACAGAAGCTTAGAAGTTTCAGCAATGTGAAGGTCCATATAAGGTAAATTCCATTTAAATGATTCCTCTATAGGGTAAGATACTTCCAGGCTGTTAAAATCTGCAGCGGGCTCTCATTTGCACTCTGCCACTTCAGATGACAGAAGCAGGGGAAGTGTTTGGCAAAAAGGTATGAGGGGTGCCCAGACTGCAAGCTACTCCCAGTATTAGGTGAGCTTCTGGTTTGCAGAGTAAGCAAGATACTGTGACGCAGTAAAATCATTAACTGTCAATTAGTCATGCAGTCAATTACTGCTTAATTGACACATGCTGTGAAAGAGGAAGCCTGATGAAGACACAGTGAATAAAGGGCAAATACTAGGTACCTTTTTTTCTAATATGTTTTGTTTTTTCCCAAGTGGATTTTACACATACCTTTGCTTTTTGTTTGGATGCGGTAATTAAACATCCTCTATTTATTGTTGTTGTTATTGGTGATTTTTTTTTAACTTTTAAAAACGTTGAGATGGAGTCGTAAAAGCCCTTGCAATTGAATTTGCAGAGCTAATGCTTCTTGCCTCAGCATTTCTAGTTACTGCACTTCAGTGGAAATGGGCTAACTGGTTATGCAAGTGTTGGAGGCTGTTTTGTTGAAAAGCAAAAGACTGAGGGAAATCAGCTTTGCCTATAGTTAACCATCGTGATAGGAGAAACCTAAACTGTAACCTGCTGCCATATTGTTGCTCCATATGCCTTCGAGACTACAGCCTGATGGGCAAGTGAAAGTTTAATGTTTCTGATGCAGAAAGTGTAGACTGGTTGTTATTTGTTTTGTTGTTGTTTGCTTGGTTTTTTGTTTGTTTGTTTTTAACAAGGCAAAACGAAAACCAACCAGCAACTTTGAGGAAGTATTTTTGTTTCACAAAAAAAAAGTAATAAATGGGTGGATTGAAATGACAGTTTCCAAAATAACTAACTAAAGTGGAATTAATTGTTTGTGTACAAACCTTCAAAAATTGTGATCTCTTAAAAACAAACAAAATCACCTTAGTCAAAGTGTCCAATTAAAAAAAAAAAAATTTTTCTATTCCAGACCGGAGTCTTGGATAGCAACACAACAGATGGGAGCATTCCTGAGCGTAGCTAAGGGTTCGGCTGAACCTCCCATCTTTCTGGAGATTCACTATTTAGGTGGTGCCAATACAAATGACTCCCCATTGGTATTTGTAGGAAAAGGAGTTACATTTGACAGGTATGTATGCTAATATTTTAATGACAAAAGGGGGGAAAATGCCTTCCTGCTATTCATGTTCAATGGGGAGATGCTTTTTCTCTGCTCAGCACATCTTTCAATGCCATTCCAGTGAACTTGCCCTATGTAGTAATGTAGTAGACTGTGCTGCCTTTTCTGGGGAGAAGACAAGCTTGAGTGATTGGACAAAGTAGGAGTTTATATGCCCCTGTCTTGTAAGGGGAAAATGGAAATTCAAAGGAGAAGAAAACAGAGAACTTGCTATTTTTTCTTTTTTTTTTCTTTGCCTGAGAAAACCTCTGGATGAAGAATTTACATGCTTAGATTTGCAGTCTGTGACTGGACATCTAGATTGTTCTTTGAGGCAGTTCCTTATAACTGCTTTTTATGTCACATAACTACCGAAGAATTTATTAGTCTGTTCCCCTTCTGTAAGCTGATTTTAGCAAGTGTACTATTTTGTTCTTGTTTTGTGCTCTTTTGCTGTTATAAAGATCATCGAGTTAGTCCGCTGCAGGTTACTTGGATTTTTATGGTGTCTTAATTATGAGGAAAGAATTCACGGACATATTTTATCTGAAATGAAAACCCAGATACCTTGCTTTCAATATGCTTGTTAGGGTGTTGCAGGAATATTTGAAAACACATGTACTGGTATTTGGTGCTAAAACATACCGATGGACAGAATATTATCAGTGTATGCAACTTTGAACTCCTGCGTGTTGGATGAGATTTGTTCTGTTTATTCCAGTGGTGGCATTTCGCTGAAGCCATCGTCGGGTATGGATGCGATGAGAGCAGATATGGGAGGGGCAGCAACTGTCTGTTCAGCCATTGTGACAGCAGCAGCTTTAAATCTACCTCTTAACATAATTGGTAAGTATGTTTGTGCAAGAATCCAAAAATCTTAATTTTACAAGATTTGTTTTTGACAAAGTCATTTTCTAGTATCAGCAGTGGTAATGGTCTTACAGAAATGCCGTGGACTCTTGCAGACTTACTTGTCTCATTGCCTTGCTGAGCTTCTCTTCCATTTTTTACTTGCTTATCAAAAACTACTAGCTTTGCTGGAATAAATATTTCAACACCGAATTAAAATTTTGAAGGCGTGATTTAGATCTTGGGTGAGAAATGATTGTCAATAAACTTATTTTCAGCAATTTTTTCATAAGTTCTGATCCTTCATTACAAGAAGGAATGTGGATATCTGTAAAAGGAATTAAAAATGAAAAGGAGTTCGCTGAGCTACCTCCAGGCGTGTTTGCCACAGCTGAACAGGAAGAGGGATGAGCTCTTGTTCCCTTAAGTGCCTATCTCAGCAGAAATCTAGCAAACAAAAAAACCCAGTCTGCTGATACTGATTTTAAGTAGGAGCAATGCTTATTTTTTTCTGCAAAAACATTGCACAGCTAAAATTAAATGAGCTGAGTCAGGAACCATGGGAGAACCGGTTGGTGACGACACGTAATCCTGGAGGATCAGTTCTGGGAGCACCT